AGAAATATGGTCTTGACTCAAATAATAAGTCTACTTGACATCTGTTACGAAGCGATTTACTTCACTTTTAAAGTATAAAGTAGACCTAAAATTGAGTTTATTGACTTGAAATAAAGAAGGAGGTCTGAGAGAATATTGATGAGGTCAATTAACAGACCACCCTCATGGAATGACCCTCTGATGAACTGCATTAGTTGAATGCCTGAATGCCTCTTGTGTGTATGCTAGTTGACGTGCTTCTGTACAGCTGGTTACATCCTACGTTCACCTCAAGGCCTTTCGAAAACAACTGAAAAACATTATCGTTCACGATGGTGAAGAGGGCTGGGCGTTTCTGTAAGTTATGCTATAAGTGAACTCCACGATAACACTAACCATGCAATCCCGCTTATTGTTTTCCTTTGCTAAACTGCTCTGCTTGTGACTGCACACACACGCACACACACACACAGTGATGTAAACCATAGCAGTAGTGATCGAAAAACAAATTGACGAATTCGAGTGGAATAAAAAAACACAATCTTCTGTCACCGGATCAAAGTCAAATACAAGTGACTGGAACCAACTTGAAATCAAACGAATGTATACCACCTATACTGTGAAATCGCAGTTGATCACTTTTTGAGCATGCAACGACGAATTAAAGGCTGGCAGGTGGAAGTAAAACTGTCTCCCTACTGAACTCCGTCGACAGATCCTACTCAGATGATTTCAACTGTTTGCACTCAAATCACACATACCAAATCAATTAAGATTATTGCGTTACTGACTGAAATTTTTTACTAAGCATAGTATTTTGAATGAACTATCACTGAGATGAGTATGTGGTGTTTATTAATTCGGCTGATACATTTACTCTTCAATTTTTCACCATCAGTCTAACCTACTTCATCATCACTCACTCCGGAAAGAAATGAAACATTTTTAACTTTCATGAACGTTTGTTCATAAGATTTACAGTCCTGATTTGTAGTTGACTGGTGAGTAGGGAGAACATTCTTCGTCTCTTTTTTCAAAAAATAAACTTCATATAGAGACTGTTGTGACCATTTTATTTATGCTCTTATCAAAGTGTCTGATTATTGATTAGCTTCATTGACTGTCAGTGAACTGACCACCTCATAGTAGTTCGGTTATCAGCTCCAATCCCAAGTCTCTGTTTCTCACCATTTGGTCAGAACAACAAGTTGCCTAAAATCCTCTTGAACATTTGGAACTTAAGTTTCGTGATATTTTCAACTTCTCATAATTCACGCTGTAGTTATGTTCATTTACTCCTGTGGAAATTCAGCGGTGACCAACGTGTGATTTCACTGCGAGTTAATTCTCATCTAAAAATGCTTTTGAATATTTGATGACTGGATTGACAACTCTTTAAGCTTATTTATAAGACCAGTTTGATACTGTTTTTCGTAAACTATGAAACTACTAGCTTGCGTAGAACGTTTGTTTGCGATTTGGTTGGATTTAGCCTTTTTAACTCACTTCCTATTTGATGAACACAAATGTGTCAACGACCTTATAAATTCACACTTTATCTTGAGTTCAGGCAGCACTATGCATTCCGATCTTTGGTTCGCATCCCTCTAGATTTATTGTGAAATCCCTGTGCAAAATTTTGTTCTAATTGTGGATATTACAAACGACAAGTGACATTAATTGTACAGGAGGTATCTTTTATACCTTGATGGCCTTCAGGATGACCCAATGTAGCTCGGAGCGACTAGTGCTGGTTTCGCATCTCAGTAGGAACAACGTAACTCACCGGTGTGTAGGTACATCCTCTAAGGCTGACAAAATTCAACCGATAACTTGTCAGTTAGTTTTGTGGCATTCAGATGATACATGCAGCCGAAGTCAGGGAAATAAGTTTGCAAAAGAACTACTGAATTCATCCGCCTCAACGCCATTTCTCTTGACTTTCTGGTGAAGCATTCGAAAGTAAAATATGCTGAAATAAGACGAAGCATGTGGTAATGAATATGTACGAATTGACTGGTACGGGAGATTTTGGTAGTAGGAAAACAAATCAGGTGTGTTGAGTTTTCAAATTGCCACGCGTTAAAGTTGACAGAGCGTTTGGAGTTGTTTTGACTTTTCACTTGTTGCCATTTCTACTCAGGAATTGGGTACTGAGGTTGGCCTACTCTACCTTGGTGTTTATCTCACTGACAGATCAGCCTACTTAACAAATACAAACAATGACTGTCATCCGGCTTGCAGCGATCCATGTATGCTTTGTCATTTTCAAGCGGGATTGCCAAATGTTCCACATTTGACTCTGTTGAAGCCAACTAAACATTGCAAAACTCTGCAGTATTTTCTTCTCTGTTTTCGGAAAACTGAAGCAGACCTTTTGGTCGATATACCCGTACGTGTTGCTCACCTGCTAATTGCATCATAGATGCATTGAGTTTACGCTGATTCGTGCATAGTGAAATATATGCCACACGTATTCATAATAGTCCGCCGCGAAGCCCTGACTACTGAGTGGTTATGAATCACTGCATTGAAGCGGAAAACACATTCGCTTACCTGCCTAAATAGTATTACCCTGCGAGAAATGTGTGACTTACTAAGATTTAATGAAACATGCAACATAATCCCCAGGAACTTGTCATTGTTTGCCGAGTGGATTGTTTGTAACGGTCGACTTCAGTCGAAACCCTACTGACTTCATGGATCTACTCTGATAAACAGAAGAAAGAACACTTAGGATGGAGAGTAGCGAATAATCAGATGAACGACGAACGTCTTTTTTCGCCATGCACTCAATATCAATGATGTGCTTCATATGATTTTCGACTGTCCAAATTTGAAAATGCTGCTGCCAGCAAATTTGATACGGAGCTGTGGATTCTCTATTCATGATAACAAATGTAAAGCGGTGACAGATTTGAAATTTATGGATGTCAATTATCGAGCAGCAGCCTTTTAACCTTTAAATAATAGTACTAGCATGCACTGGATGCCTTAACAAGACATCATCAATGTAGCAAGTAAAGCTGCTAGCGAATTTACAAAACGTTGAGCACTAGAAGATGAGTCTCATATCACTGTCTGCAACTCCTGGATGGTCGTCGATGTATTCGGTCAGGTAACGGTTAGAATGTCGCGAAACACCACCTGCATGTTTTCTGTGCGGCCTAATGATCTGTCTAGACGTGCCAGTGAAATGGAATCAAAAATTGCACCTGCCATGATTCAGAAACTATTTCATCTCATCCGAAACACCCATAGCATAAAGCTCGTGTTCGCTAAAACGTCAATTGTTTATTTGCTAGCTAACGGGATGCTTTCTTTTCCATCGTCAGTCTGCGTCTATGCAAGATAAGTTACTCAACCTGATCATTCAATAGCCATGTTGATGCACATCTACCGTTTTCGAAGGGTTTTCAAAAGAATTCTGTCTGCACTGATTCATGGATGTGGTAAATTGTCAATTAATAAAACTGCACCAGTAGCAACACTTTCGACTTAGACTGTCAGTGAGATCTGCCGACATTTTTGAATGCGAAAAGAAATTTCAACAGAAATCGCTGTCTCACCTCACGTTCCACTGAAATTAAATCGGCTGCTTGTGTGGAGTCATAACGCATCAACATTATCACTGAAGAAAAATGAAAACAACTGACGAACACTCGGCAGTTGATTTCCACACATTTGAAAATGCACAGATGTGTATCCAACACCATTGAGGAATGTTCCTACACCGCAATACACGTGAACAAATCAACATAACAATGAATGAACAGCAAATAATTATCGTATTGCCTTCCACTATATAAATATGATATCATACACTACAAGTGTATTTAGCAGAACTAAATATATTGGGATACTTGCGTTACATATACTACTTACAGTCGACAAATGTCAGTGACACGATGCAGTTGATACGATAATTCACCACAATGTGATGCTGAAAATGTAACCTTGGCTGACCTACATCACAAATCCACCTGACTTGTATTATATACAGCTCAAAGAAGTTCATGTCAAGATGAATTGAGCGGTCTACGTTTTACATTGTTCACTCAATTATTAAAACAGCATTATTATTTTTTATATAATATTTGTCGCTTGGGTTCCTAGTGGAAAATAGGGCTTCAGTAGGACATCTCCAATGAGCTCTGTTCTCTGAAATCATTCGAACCTAGCTCCAAGACTGCCCAGAAGCCCTCATTTCCTCCTCGCACGATCTCCTCCATGTCACTTAGGCCTTAGACGCTTTTCTGATCATGCCTGGCTTTGATGTCCTCGTCTGTGCCGCCTGTAGTTGAAACGATGCTGCCTAGATAGGTGAAGGAGGCTACTTCCTTTAGGTTTCTCCCGTTGGTGGTGATTTGTGCTAGTTGTTGTTGGTTGGGTATCATCATCACCTCTATCTTCTCTAAGTTCACCCGAACGAAGTCCCGTCTTCGCTGCCTCATCCGTCAACTTGTCACTTTTCGCCTGTAGACCTTCGAGTTTGTGCGACATTAGACATAAATCATCATCAGTGGCGAAATCCAAATCTTCTAGCATCTTTTTCCCGGTTCAGTGTACCCTCTCTTCTCGCTCCTCACTGTTTGTTGCTTGATCTAGTTGATCACAATCAGGAATGTCATGGGTGATAGTAGACAGCCTTGTTTTACTCCTGTCTTCACTTCAAAGGCATCACTGAGCTTTCCATTGTGAATTACTTGGCATGTGGCTTCTTCATATAGTTATTGAATGAGGTTGATAAAGGTTTGTGGTATTCCATAGTGTTGAAGCAGCTGCCGGCCAAATTACTTCTCGGTGGACGCTGTCCAAGGCTTTTATATGAATTCGAACAGCATTCGCAATGTGGTGACGATCATAGTTGTTGCAGTCAGTCAGGCAAATGCTTCCCAAGTGGACTAGGCATTCAACAATAAGATTTAAGAACTCCTGACATAAAATCTACAGTAGAAATCTGAATCGCGAAGGATGTCATACAACGAGTTATCAATAATACAAAAATTAATCACATTTTCGATCAAAATATACACCGTTTTGTATTTCACCGACACGCATACAAAAGTCAAACACAGATCGTTTCTCTTTATACATATACATATAGCAGTAACAAATAATGGTAGGATACAGTTGCTTCTTTGTGACACTCCGCGCCTAAACGAATAGAAAGTCGAATATACAATTTAGGCAGCCATTCTATATACACACACACATACATACATACATACATACACACCAGACAGGTAAAAGAATGCAGTAAGAGAGATTGAAGGGAATGTTAAATCTTTCAGTGGCAGCAATAATAACAAACATAAGCACACTAACATTGTAAAATAGTTGTTCAGATATGAGCTAAGTGGAAAGTGGATGATGAACAAAGATAATGAACTTTAAACCCTATAAATTACAACAAAATATAAAAATATTTGTCTATAATATGTATACTCATTTCTCAACTGGATCACATTTGATATGCATAAAAGTTTATTTTTCTTTTCTGCTGTTGAAACGGATGAAATAAACGCATTCACTGAAACAAGCAAGGAATCAACCAGCACTAGTTATGCAAACAAACGAACAATAGTCATCTTACGTATAATTAAATACTTGTGTAAAAAATAAGTGGAAGTTTTGACAAAACAACAACAAACAAACACTGATGACACCCCAAAAGTGTATCACGACAGAGAAGAGGAGGTTGAGTAGATCATATACCCTAACACAAAGTGGAAATACATATACACATAAAAGAGGTCATAACAGAGAGAGAGAGAGAGAGAAAAGAAAAAAAAGAAAAATCAGAATTTACACAAACTATCATTAATTTCTGATAAACGTTTCCTGCGCCTTTTATTAGGTCGTGTATTCCTCTTATGAAATGTTGATGTCCAAGTTGAAATAGAATTCTCTGCTGATTGGTGATGGTTAGCGGTTAGTCCAAGTGTCTGAATGGACATGCATAGAAGAAAGGAGGAAACAAAGAACGATACATTTCTTTTTACAAAAAAAAGGCATACTCTTGACATACACACCAAAAAAAGAAATAAACCTACATCAACGAGACAGAGAATAAAAGGTAATCGTGGAAATGGCTGGCACTAATGTGAAGGTATTCCCAGTCGGGACAATAACGCATATATACTTCTACCATTCCGAAAAGAACAAAAATTTCCCACAATTCATCGTGCCATTCTCTGTCCTACCTTATTCGGTAAATGATTTACAAGTTAATCATTGACCAGCAAGAACTAAGATTTCTACAATCAACTTCAACTTTTAACTACGAATCTAAACAGAATTATTTAAAACGGTTTTCAAGAATTCCTAATGTATAAGTGAGGGGATTCGCAGAATGATTAAATTGACATCTGAGGAGATCACCCCACAGTCGATTGGTCAAAATTCTCGGTTACACTAAAAGCTAATTTAATCAAATAAAAAATAAACGGAATTTTCGACCCTGAGTACCTGTCATAATTCACACAGCCTCACTTCCCTATAAATATGCAACGCTGTTCTGATTAGTTGTCACTTGATACTGGCACATCTACCGAAAAAACGAATTGATAAAAATTAAGACACAAATCAGTAAAGTCACATCCATTTGCTACTAAAAAACGATTCTGGTTGACTAACATAGTGTCTAGCATCTAGTGTATAGCTTCATAAAAAAGTTTATGCTGACAGAAAAAGTTTCATGATTAAACCATCCACTTCAGAGAACACAATACCATCAAAAGATCCCAGTGTCCCCGGTTATTTAATCTTCAAGTACAATAAATCCGAAATAATAAATGCATCTTTCAGGCCTATGAGAAAGCGAGTCGATCAAATTTGCATTCTTATTCAAATGTTGGAATACAAACATGCCAGCCGGTACCTTATGACTTCATCAATGGAAATTAAGTCCCTTTTCACAAATGTCCCCCTGACACCAACTATTTTCTTGTAATGCAATTTCATTCATTCCCATGACATAGATTTCGGTATTTCAGATCACTACTTAAAAGAGCTGCTTCTTCGATTTACGTTCGATAAATAGTTTCAGATTTAATAGTGAAATTTACAGGCAGATAGACAGTGTAGTAAATGTCTGGTCCTATGTTGATAATGATGATGATGTGTAGTAATGGGTTCCCCCCTACGATCACTTCTTGACTGTTTAGTGTGAAGCCTAGAAAAAATCAACTTATCAACAACAACCAATAAGTTTCATATGTACAAAACAAGAAAAATTGTGGCTGGAGAGTCCGTGAGACACCTGCATGAGGCTTGTCACAGACAGCCTATTGTGGGATGTTTTTGTGAGGTATAAACGTTCCAATTCTGAACAGAGAGTATCCATACTGCTGGCACCAGCAAACCATTGGGAAGGGTGGAGAGTGTTAGCTTTGCGGCCGACCTTTTCTAACCCACCCCACTTCCCATTACGAAGACAGCACTGTTGTCCCACCCCCATCTAGTCAGCAGTAAGACTTTACCCTCAGACTCTCATCATAGCGAAGCAATTTACACTAAAGTGATATGCTTTTTTCTAACCAACATACCTTTCCAGTATGGTAAGACCTCGATCAAACAAGCGTTCCAGGCAGCGTAGCTCGTTAGGTAATTGTGATATACAAGCCTAAGAATCACATCAAGGTAGCCGCTATCGGTTGGGCTTATAGTATATTCTCCATTGTCAGTGGCCGTACCAACTGGATCAAAAATAAAGATAAATATGTCCCGATTATCTACTCAAAGACTATCGAGGAAAAATGCCGAGACACATCTGATTAAACGGAGGATAAATCTAAACTTCTTTTGTAACCAGTTTTGTCATACACGACAGTCAGATAGACGCTAAATTTAGCCTTCGACGCATATGGTATAAAATAGGTTGTTTGCCTGAAAAGCAACCAGAATGAAAAGTCTACAGAAATAGAATATTATTTTATAACTGAAGCCGTCGATGCATTTAGATAACAAGGAGAATGATTTAAAACTACAAGGCTATGGTTCGTTGATCTACCCAGCAGGTCCTGTATCCCAACCTTAACATAGCTACCGGGATACAGGCAGTTACGTAATGTCACTGGAACTTGAACATCACTTGTCCTTTATTGCTGACTACACGAAAGTACCTGCGGTTACTCAATGCATTTAGAGATGAAGGAGACTTCGGAAACAATATCATATGAACAAAAACTTCCCAAAAGGAACACCAAAGTAAGTCGGTCCATAAACTGAAAACATACAGGCTGAAATATATTCGCCTCTCCAATTAATTCGTTGTCGATGCAAAACTCCAAGAGAAGGAAATAGCCAACGCAATAAGCGCATGTTGTCAGTCACTAGTAAACTGTTGGCAAGGTAATCAGCAAAGTGATTAGCTGTTCCAAGGTCACTTGTTCATACATTATCTGTAGCAGCTGAACTTTAACTTAAGCATTTCTCACTTACAATGAAAACTATCAGTTGTGTAAAACACTTTGTTCTTAAGCGAAAGATCTATCCAACATACAAGCACCTTGGATACACACAAGCAAACACAAATGCATTAATAAATTATAATGGTGGTCCCAGTAAATAACACACCTTATCATGTAAATGACTGCCATCATTGACATCATTACTGTTAGTTGTACCGATATGATCACAGAGTGATAATGGTGGTGTTAATGAAAATGATGACGATGCATTTGTTTGCATACTTGAGAGAGAATTTGGACAGATCATCAATTCATTATGTCTCAATTGACAAACAGATTCCATACCATCTAGAAAAGTAGCGAAAATACACATTAAAACGATTAGGAATCATTACAGTCTAGGGTCAAAGTAGAAATGGACATTGTAAGTCAGTAATCATCAGAGTAGAAGCTTTACGGCTTCATTTTCTGGTGTATGTTCCTGGGTGGCGTCAGAACAGTTTTACTAGACACTTCAACGCCTCAATGGATAAATTCAAAAAGCAATCTTTCAAAAAGGTCAACATTGCAAATTTACGATGGGTACCCATGTCAAAAAATCATCTTCATATGTATAGGTAAGTCGTTTTCGATTGATATTTTCGCAGCCCAGTGAAGTATACAGTACTACTAGAGCAAACAACTACTGTTCGTATACAGTACACTCATTGTTATTTACGCTCTAGTCCCCTCGATCGCTTCGAATCAAGGTGAGAGATACGACAGATTTCTTATCTTTTTTTAGCAATATCAAAACTTACCTCAAAGGCAAACAAATCTTCAGGAAATATGATTAACTTGGTGGCGTCTAGCAGTACGTGTGGTTTTATTTATCAGCTGGATGAAATTACATCTCACTACTATATGATGGTATTCCCCCACTGAGATATATAACTACTAAAAATGGCTTCAAACGCCGTAGCGTTATCCACTGAGCTACTCAGTAGGACAATGTCGAGTTATTCGCACAGGAGCCAACGTGTTACCAGAAACCGACCGATCCAGTCCAAAGAAAGCAAGTAACGGAAAATTACCTCAAAAACAATAACTGATTAATAAAAGCCATGCAGAATAACAGCATATGATATGCCTTGACACTGGTGCTTTTCACTCTTTATGAAGTAAATGTTTGTTACATTCTTGTTGCCACTTATCGTAACCTTGTTGTCACTCGTTATGTTCTAGTAGTAACAAGTTGCTATAACCTGATTTTACATATATATATATATATATATATATATATATATATATATATATATATATATATATATATATATATAAGACGCTTGAACAATAACTGTTACATTCCACCCGTTGATGGTCGGTAAGATAACAGAAGGTGTATTGCAACGTCAAAAAATATATACGAAATGTAATACTTTATATTTATTTATAGTAGTCTTGGCTATTTCCAGACGTTTCTAGACTTGACTATCGCATTGACTTTTGTCCCTTCAACTAATCTGATACTTACATGTTGGTTCATGTGCTTCTTCCAAAACTTCGAACCGAAATGACACGCTGTAGTAACAGGCTATTGGAATTCACGGCTTCTTATTGAGATCATGACAATCCTATTCCGCACTATGACAATGTTGATAAAGTCACTTAGTCCGGTGATGAGACGTGCAGGAACACACGTCAAAGCTCGGAGAACGTCAAAAAATTATCACCTATATTAATTCAACAATAATGAGCCAACATGAATCAGTATATTTCTAAAAAACCTGCCGAAATACAATCCTACGTAAAATATCATTAAGGACACTAAAAATGTCTTCTACCAACAAGATTGTTTACAACATAACTGCATACAATGGTAATGATGAGCGGTGACTGCCAATGGAATCCAGGATGTGCGTCTCGTTAGATTTGAGACTCGTCACCTGGGTGTACATACCTCCGAGTGAGTGATGTTGCTCCTACCAGGAATTGAACGTCAGACCAATCACTTCAAACCCCTGAACATTATCTACTAAGGCACTGAGCTATTAAATTATTGCTGGTAAATTCCTGTCGTTAGTTGGACCGAAGTGATCAGTCTCTATTAGCAATAACAAGGTTTTAATACAGCTTAGACATTAACTGAATTGCTTATGAGATAGAAAAAATTACCATGGTTTTCAATGGATTCAATTTCAAGCTATATTCAGTAATGTTTCAAGTCACAGCATCTTGTAACCCCTTGGTTATCAATACAAGGACGAGATGAACCAACTGATGTGAAATCAAAATAACTGTCCTTCATCCTACAGTACTATGTTATGAAGCTGATTCGCCAGAAACCAATGAAAGTATGTAGTTATTGGTAGGGGGTCAGAAATTAGTAGTGAATAGTTAGAAGTTTTAAGCAATAGACTTCAAGTCTTGATAACATTCCATGTTATCGAGCTACATGAGTAACACTGAATGTAGTTGAATGAATACCAGTACAAACTACTCTGAAATTCTATCATTTTAATTGGTTGTTCTAAATTCCAAGATAATACAATCATAGATAATTAAACGATGGGTGGTATTTTACGAATTATCAGGCGTCCACTTTCTAAAACGTTGGTTTCTGTGAATGGTTGACAGTTTAATGACCAAGCTTAGGATACAATAGCTGGTGCTTTTTCTAACCCGATCAAAGTATCAGTGTAATATTACTCCTTCTAGAAGATTCTGTTCACCCTTTAAACGATTAAATCTAGCCTAAAAATAAATTTCAGAATACAACGTTAACATGACCAACTCACAGCTTCAGAATCTCTAGTTCAATACAATGACAAAGACGCTATCATCATCTTGGTTGCATTACACTGTTAATTACAAGAATCTTAAAAAGGAGCAAACTCTACCATTTCTCAACACATGTTGATTGGTGATTTACACAGCATAACATATCAATCAAATGTACTCAGGGTAATCACGCAAAGGTTTACGGATTGGGTAGTCAGTTGCCTCTGATGTCTATGAATTGTGACCCCAACTGAACGCCAAGACTTCATTAAAACACGGTGAGCGTAGTCTGCTAACTGACAGATGAATAATTAATTGAATGAACCGCCAATTACATCAGCTAAAATTGTCTGATTCAGAATCTTAAACAGCATTAGTCTTCGTAACCGCTGACACCATTTTGACTGTAAAATGAACAACTACCACCAACAATTATACGCTGAAACTCAATGGCTGATCCAGAAAATTTATCGGTGAATTTAATATGAACAACCTTTGTTTGGCAGCTTGAATTAGTTGGCACCGGAAAACCGTTGGGAAGGGCGGAGTGTGTTATTTTTGGGGCCGGCCTTTTCTCAACCCCCCCCTCCACCTTCCACTGAGAAGGCAGCATCAGCATGGCACTGCTGGTCATCAAAAGGGAACACTATGCTGTTGTCACGCCCCATCTAGTCAGCAGTACGACTTTGACCTCAAGCTCCCATCATAATGTGCCAATCCACACTACAACGGTGACTGCTTTTAGTCTACTTACTATCCAACAGACCTTTCCGGTATGGTAGGACTTCGATGGAACAAGCGTTCGAGACAGTGTACCTACCTCGTTGGGTAATTGTGATATGCAAGCACAACCACCACATCAAGGTAGCAGCCACCGACGGGGATTATCACATGTAGCACAAAGTGGAACTCTTGAGTTATCGGGTTGTAACTTCTTTACGTCCTCCAATTTTCAAAGTAATATAAGTGATGACAGCTTATTCAAAGTACTTCTTTATAAGTTTCACATCTGCAAAACTGCTTGCGTCTTTTTATCCGTCATCTTTCTTTTTCATATTGTGTGCTGTAGGGTATTTGATATGGTACAAGTTTACGTCCAAATCAACATTAATTAATCTACAGAAGTCTATCCAATGCAAACATTTCTATGATTGTGACTCGCTGTCTTGAAGACTCAACATTCAGGCAGTGGGTCAGATGATCAACTTCGGTATAGTCATCAGCTCTCACAGAAAAACTCATAAACTAGTGAATTAAAATGTACTGAGTTGAGGAACATCAACGAATCAGAATAATGCCAAATAAATCAAGCGCAAATGCCAAGACAACAAAAATGTACACACCCACACCTACAACTAAGACAAATTTAAAGCGAATTAAAACTTACAGTCTTCATCACACTTCGATATCACACTTTCCAATTTTAAATGATCTAACTGTGAAGTTGTCGGCAATTCAGGCAACGATAAAAATTGTCGATGTCTATTACACTGCTTGGATAAAATAGGTTGACCCGGTAGTGCGACATTGATACAATCAACTGAAGGTGAATTATTGTCACTAACCAAGTTGAAATTTGACGATATCTTCAAGTCCTGTGTATATTCAAAGAAACAAATCTATTGTGAAATCAACAAATTTTACTCATGCACAAAATTACAGTTATAACATAGCAAAACAATTTGGAAAAAAAAAGTCTATCTCTTATTGAAAAAAAATTATTCTGGGTATCTTATGTAACATAATAATTTTAAGCAGGTTGGAGCATTGTAACAGAATCTATTTTCAATTCCTGCGACTCATCAGATGTATTACACGGTGAAACGGTATAATTTACTAGATGACCTTTTTAAGACAATTTATTGCTCACAGTTATACCATTATGTGTTCATATACATTTCTAGTTTAGTAGTACTCTTTTTTCATTCTTTCATTTCACTTCTAGTGAAGTTTTTCATACATCTAGAATTAGTGTAGAATCATTTTACATATATCCAACAGCGAACTGGAGGTGGAGAAAACCAGGCAAGTTACAAATCTGGACATGAGAGAGCATCGATAAGATTATCCCTCATCCTCATCTTACAGAATGTGGTTATGCATACCAGCGACAAATACCTGCCATGTTTCCTGACCTGAAGGCGATATTTTAAACCATCGACCATGAGATGTTGCGACAGTGTGCCTGTCTGTGAAGGGAGTACCGACCAAGTGTGAAATGTTCATCAAATCTCTCTACTTGAACCCACGCAGCCGTGTAAGGATCTATGGAGAATTGCCGACGAGTAGTGTCTGTTAGGGATGCTCACTATCATCGTTTCTCTTTAACTTCATTATCGGTGTACTAATGGAGTTAACCCTAAGTACATCTGACTTCACAGGGATTGATCCACTCCCTGAAGCATGCCTGGTTGCCTTGGAGTATGCAGACAACACTTTCTTGCTAGGCCAAGGTGTTGACGAAACCAAGAGTATTTCAAATGTGTTCAGCAAAAACCTGAGTATGGTTGGTATGCGTTTTGAGCCCGTCAAATGTAAGATGATGCTTCAGGACTGATCCGTAACTATTCGCAGTTCTAAGAAGAAGGACGGATCTACGATTCCGTCGTAGGCGAAACGACCAGAACGATGGGCAGAACACTTCAAGGAACAGTTCAGCTGGCTTCCATGTACTATTGCGTTGCCCGCTATCCAGTCGGACTCAGAATGGAACATTGAGACAACCTCCCTCTCCCAACACTTGTAGAAACCAAAGAAGTGGTAGGTAACTTGAAACGAGGAAAAGAACCAGGACCGGATGGACTAACCCTTGAAGTATACCAAGTAAACTGAAGTGTCAACTTGTGTATGGGGGTCACATATGACCTCCTCTGACTGTTGTCAATCACTGATTATTCCCGTCTTCAAGAAAGGCAAGAAGTCCCGTTATAATAAACACAGAGGAATCAGCCTCACAAACATAGGGTCCAAAATTCTAGGTTCTTTAATCAGTAAACGCCTGAGTAGACCTCTGGAACAGCAAACACGAGAAGACCAACCAGGCTTCAGATCTGGCCATGTGTGTATCGACCGACTGTTCACTCTCCACCAGGTTCTAGAACACAGGACACGCTTACCAGAACCCGACAATAGCTATATTTCTAGACCTGAAGGCGTCATTCGACTCCGTCGATCGAAATGTTTTACGGCAATATGGAGGTCGCTCTTTCGTCACCTGACTATACAAAGATTGACATAATCACAAGAGGAATTTTGTGACATCTAGAGTAAGCGGATGACGTAGTTCTCTTAGGTGAAGATACTGACAAGATGCAGAGTCTTCTGGACACCTCGAGTAGCGATTTGAGAATGTTTAGGAAGCGTTTCTCACCACCGAAATACAAAATTGTTTCTTCAGGAGTGGTCTTCAACGATGCCGCGGCTAACAATAGAGAGTCTAGTGGTTGAGTGCATTGAACACTTCACTCACTTAGAAAGTCGGATCAGCCTTGGCGGTTCAGTGGTCGACAAAATCTATGGATGCAGACATGTGATGCCTCCACGATATGTTATTGTCCATTAAGGGTCGAGTGTAGTGTACTGTAGTCCGCTCTCTTCTACTCTGTGGCTAGTAAACATAGCCATTAAAGATAGTGGACATGAGAAGGCTTCAGGTGTTTGACGACCGTTGCCTTCGCAGCATAGGTCGTGCTTTGTGATGTTACCACGTGGATAACGCAAAGTCAGGTGTAGAGTTCTAGGGAACAGAGGTATGTCAGTTGGTGCAGTTGTGAACCTCAATCGACTGAAATGACTGAGATATGTGTTACGTATGCCTAGTTGCCGATTGCCTCATCACACAATGTTGGCCGAAACAGGTTCACATTAGAAAGAGGCTCGGGGTGGACAGAATAAAACATGACATCACTCCATGAAGTTCTTGACTATTCGTTTAAGCCAAATAAGGCGAGGCAGACTAGCCAGTTAGGGTCCATAGGACAGGAGAAATCAGTGGTTGCAGACTCTAGGTGATATGGCTCACAATCGATGTCAGTGGCCCAGATGCATACACACATTAATCTTCGTCTTAACCACTATACCTAATCTCATCATCGCATTCTTCCTTCCACTCTTTTACTACTTTCTACTTCTTCCTTTGACTGGTTTTTATTTCCTTCATCTTATATTATATCGCCTCGTTACCTAATGTGCTGATATGAGATGTGGCAACTTGAACTGTTAGGCAGTAATACCTGGTTCTATGTTGATTCTAATGATGACAGTTCAATAAGTTTACCACTTCGCTTACTTAGGGAGTTGCATCAGTTCGAACGAGTTGATTTCTTACGAAATCTCAACTGGAATATGAAAAGCCTGTTTAGCATTTGGCAACTCGCGTCATCGCTGGCACCAACTGGCGAAATATCCAACTACCTACTAAACAATGAGTAAACTGCGATGCAGTCCACTGTCATGCTATACGGATGTGAGACATGATGGCCGAAGCAGCAAACAAGAAAAGACTGAATTGTTTTCACTATAAGCGTCCTCATAGCGTTGTTCACGTATTGGATAGTCAACATGTAAAAAATGTAGAGGATAGGCAAAGGGTTCTAAGCAAAACAGGTAAGTCAGTCGATGAGGTTATGAACCTTTAGTAACTCAGGTAACTTGGACATGTCTAGCTCATGCCAAACCACCTTTTACCTCGACGTCTAATGCTAGCAGAAGTCATATTAGATTGGAGGATGGTTCATGGTGGCCGTATCAAGCAAGACGTGACACCACTTCATGAAGTCTCTGATAATTGGTTCGAACCACGTAGAGAAGTGTAAACAATTTAGCTGGAGTCTCCGAGACAATGAGAATAAATATTTGAAGTTTCTTGGTAAAATGCCTGAAAGTGGATCACAAGAGCGCAGATGTACTCACTTTTCTACGTCATCTAGAGTTTGAATGTTTTCGCTGACGTTTCTTTGCCAAATTCCTTCTCCTACCATGCACCTTTGTCTACTTTCAAAACATTTTCTGTCTGCTTTTTCCGTCTATGCTACTGTGAAGCATGGCAACTTAAATCGATGCACTTTAGTAAAAGGTTCTACGTTGATCACGTCGGTCTTTGACACAAAGAACATAGCTCACATCACGACAAGGCTACTGAGACCATTTGGAATTGGTTTGGCTCACAAGCCAAACAATTCCGTTCGAAGCACATTATGCAGACAAAAATTGATGCAACAAACAAAAAAGAGCAACCATATGCCATTCACAAAATCAATTGTAACAACTGTGATCAGCACTGCATTGGACAAAGAGGCTGCCCCCTTTGCCTCTGTCTACAGAACATCAGTTGACAGTTAGGGTGTTACAACACTTCGTCTCTTATATCAAACCATATAGAAAACTATAAACATCAGTTCGCTTTTAAAAAGGTCGAGATATTGAACAGACGACACAACGAATAACAGAGAAGGTTTAGATTTATGGCGTTCAAGAGCATTCAGCAATCAACAAGTGTATAAGCATAGACCCAATCTACTCACAAAAAAGAAAATGATAAACAAATACACGGTCAGAGAGGAAAACAGTGGGATATTCAATGTACTAAATGACAGAACAATCGAAACAAACATACCACTTCATCAAGACAGACAACTGAGCCTCTTCAATAATAAGCCTGATACCCCATTCAATATTGACGTAAGTGCTGACAGTATTGCCCAGAAAGACAGTGACAACTTCAGAACTACACCATCCAGCAATACAACCAAGATCACTCAACTAAGTTACAAATGCTTTCCATTAATAATCGTTGACTCTGCTCCATAAGAATTTAGTTGCAGTCCCAATAACATATTAAATTGGTGGTTGGAAAACTTTAGACGATTTCACTAGGAATCTTTTTTATTAGATAGGATGTATTAATATCTTCAGATTCCAAAATGTCTATGTGCACTATCATATGAATTCGATTTTTAGCTGCACTTCGCTTCTTCTGTCACTATCCTCGCATACTTTTGTAACAATTATTGATAGTATTAGGATTAAAAATCGATGACAGTGGCGCAAATACATTTCCACCATATCTTCACCTAAGCTATATTTTCACATATTTCAACTCTTTTGTCTTCGATGCATCGTTTTTTATCAATTCTGACAAAGATGTACATTTCCGAATCTCCCCTCTCTTTGATCCAAACACTAATTTCCTGATGTAAGTCATACGGTGGGAAACGAGAAGACTGAGAAGAAAGAAGGAATGTTTATCATTAACATCTTGCACAGTAGTCATCAAACATTGTACACTTTCCACTAAAACAGTCATTTGTACAGTGTGCTTTATTTCCTCTTCTGCTCCTATCTTGATTTGTTCTTAATACGCCCATATTATCTCTTGTGTTTCTCTGGGCAGAATCCTTGCCCATTGCTGGTAATTCCTTGTGATCTCCGCCGCCCTCTCAACGTATACTACTTATATCCATTATGATCAGCAGCGCCCACTGCAATACTAGTTACTTCAATTGTTGTTCAGCAACATCATACACTACACAAGTAATGTCTGGCAATTATTAATTCAAAGCTACTTCTGAGATAGGCATGCAAGACTCACGTACGCGTAGCCACTTCAATCTGACCCAGTGGTTATCGAGTAATTCTCTACAAAACATGTTATATGTAAGCATTTCACGGTTATGAAGATACATGTGTGCATGTATACTGTTGATGGCAGAAGAAAGACAACCATCAAAAGTATTAAAATTTCAGAAAGATAACTATATATGGCTTCGCTAAACAACACTAAATCCGTTTGTTCGTAATGAAGGCTACTCTAACTATTCAAATCAGATAACGAATCAGCAATAACGATTAATCCACACACACACACACACACACACACACACACACACACACACACACACACGATTACCCAAAAGAACATAAATTACTTTGTTCAGATTAATGCATACCTTCTTTGAATCACACAAGTGCATGCCAACTTTACAGTTGTGAGCATGATGAATCAACGTAATACCACATATATCAGAAAACTTATGATTGATAACCCCACTATCATGAAGCTCTGTAGAATGATCATCATTGTTAGCTGTTTTAGTATTTTCTTCTAATGCATAATTGTTTCCAATGACATCAGTTTGTATAAAATCATCAGTGGAATTGCCACCAATCAGAACAGTCGATGATGATGAGGCTGATAATGATGGTTTACAACGACAACATTGCAAAAAATTATCCAACTGGCAGCAAGCTGACACTGTATGATTACTGATGGACGCTTTTCCCAAAGATTCTCCTCTATTCTGTTCATTATTTTCATCCTGTTCAACTTCATGCGTTACACAATCATCAGTAGGTGAAGGTGGGAGCGGAGAAGTAGTAACCAGTCGGTTGTTTGTGGCTTGAGTTTTCCGAGTATGACATGGATTGAAGTATATAACTATATTACTTAAATTTTGATGACTTTTATTCGAGCATAATGTTCGATATAATGAGGATAAGAATAATTCAGTGTCAAATGTAATCTTATGATTTTGTGGTCTAAGCCAGGTCCAATAGATAAACAAATGGGTTATTGACGCCAAAATCAAATGTAGACAGACTAAACTGAATGTCTGAAATTAGAAAAGCAACAAAAAAATATTCACCATAAGAAATATTATAACCGTTAATCAAGTATACAAGATTTAGTTTTCCTTTATATCGAAACATAAACTTACAACTACCATTCACACAGTAGAGGGGAGCGATCACATCTAAAGACTCACTCTACTGAATAAGACTTGAAAAGTCAGAGAATATCAGCAGCCCTCATACACAACACAGCCGCACCTCATCGTTTATCACATGTATAGGGCGGAGAAAATCAGAGTATGGTAATCAACGGGTGAGTACTTCTACTCATCGACACTTTTGTCGGCGTATTCAAAAAGCATCAAAGCATAGTGTTAAGTTACTCAAATAAGCCGCCGGATGATACAAGTTATTAGTAACACTTAAAATAGCACCAAAATCAACCAGTTAAATCAAAACTATTGAGAAAAGTTTATTCCTTGTTGAGCAGAAACATATAACATTTAGACATTTAATTTGAATACAACGTTGAAGTACACATACTTGGAATTCTAGAGACATTAACCTGAAGTTAATTTATAATTATCTAACCTATTTACAGCGCATGAAAAAGTGTCTAAACAGAATAATTTAGACATCAGTAACAACACATAGTAAGAATCATGTGTTGTCGTTGCTGACCAGGCAAAAACAGACTAGTATGAAAATAGAAAGAGAATATGTATTGCAGAAATAATCAATCCTATCAGGAAAAAATGTTTACGCACTATGATTAGGTATTTACTGAAAGTTGAAGACTTGAACATTGTTGCATAGACATTCACTTTCAATTTTTGGCTGATAAGCATGAAAATTATAAGTAAGCATATTTTCATGCCAATATACTTCCCCGTCCCCCTTCTATACACCATTCTTCATAAAAACTCAAAGCAATACACTAATCACGTCCGTCTTCTTGTAAAACTATGACTCAAATCACTTGTTACCGAACGTACAACACCCAGAATAAACAAACAGAATTATATTCAAATAAGAATCCACTACATATCTGATTGCCATCAAGAAGTTACAGGCTTCGTTCACATTTAGCGGAGTCACATAGTGAATAGTTTTGTGATTAGACGAACATTTGTTGACAAAAAAGGCAAGCCACTCGATGAAGTGGTTGAGATATATCGTGTATGTACCTAGATATCACCTTGGTCAACTAGCTACACTAGATGAGGTGGGATACGATGAAGGGCTAGTTAAGGATGGCTATATACCAAAACAAACAATACTATTCCATGACCTCTCTGAATATTTTTATACCACATCAAAACATTATGCACATTTGTGCTGTTCATCTTCCCTCCTTATCTTAAGGCGGTTGACACCACTCGTTTCGTTTATTTTCCTTTCCTAATTTTGAATTTCATCTTGATTTACCTGACAGAAGTGTAACAGCATGGACTAATAATCCATTACAGTAAGTACTATTAACTTTGATCTCTATCTACGAGACGCAAGTATCACATTCTTTGAAAACAGTGGCTAAACGATATTTCAAGGACATAGAGAGACAGGTGGAATTACAGTTCAAAAGCAAGAACATTCTACTCTCGTTGAACGGACTGCTCTACCGAATTTGGCTTGACCAAGCTAGTGGTACCATAAAGTTTACACACACAGTGTGCTTCGTAGCCGAATAGATAAACCTGCACCAAATAGATAAATTACATTAATCGAATCATCCATGAAGTTACTAAGATCGAAAAAACTTGTCGCATGCTAAGTCATTATCTTCCGCTACGTGCCATGCCAGGGGATATTGGATTAGGTTGTAAGAGGGTTGAGTGTGGTCAGACCAGAACAGATGTGGCACCCAGTTGACGAATTCTCTCTCTATTGGTCTGAGCCGTGTGAAGATATGCACACTGCCTGATTGCAGTCCTCAAGATGAAAAGGATCAGTGGTTGAGAATTTTCGGTGACATGATTAAAAATCGGTCACAACGACGCAGACTTACTCACTACTTGAAATCTTCGAAAGCTTGAATATTTGCACTAACCCTTATCTTCATATTGTTTATTCTCTCACACAACTTTGTCTTCCTTGGTACCACTGGTTTTCTACCCACCTGTTTTTCGTAAACTACTGTGAAGTGTGGCAACTTGAGCCGATGCACCTATGTGCGAGGTTCTACGTTGATACCGTCAGTCAACCCTCTCGTTTCATAAAAAAACACCTGACCTGGATTATGTAAAACTAGGTTCAATTTATACAACTGAATTTGCAACATAATAAACACTATTAAACATTCAGCATACATGCAAGTTGTAGAATTCTCTTGACACAGTTTATAAACATACAATCCTAAATCCAATAATGCCATAGACCAAGTAAACTGTATCCACAGCCAATCGTAAATCAACTGTTTCCAATTCGATGATGACTTTTTATGAGAATAGTCCTGATGATGAGCAGATGAATGTGGATAGAATATTGATTCTGAACTATATGCATTGGGATTACTGCCACCATTATCGCTGGAGCTGCTACTCACACCACCAACAGAATGACTTCCAGCAATACTCGACGAGGTAGCCGATGACGACGATGATGTTTGCTTCGACTTTTCCTTTTGACTAGATTTCGATAGATACACATCGTCTTGGGTGAAACTTTCATCCGACTCAAATTCTGCATCATCTTCACTGCCTACATCATCAACAACAACATCCCAATCAACACTGTGTGATTTCAGCCATGGATTCCAGTCTAGAGAACTTTCAAAGTCTGGTAGTGGTGGTGGTACAGGTGGAGCGACTAAATGAACTGATCTAGATGCTGTTGGACTTGGTGTAGACGATCCTGAACTGCATGGTACAGAGGGTGAGGGTGAACCGGAAGGCGAGCTACTGGTTGTGGTGGAAGTCAATGTTGAATCCGGTTGGTTAACAGTTGAAGATGGAAGGGAATTTAGTACTCGGAGTTTTAAACGTGCAATAAGATCGTTCAGTTGTGATTCCAGTTGTGCAATGCGATGCTGAACAGGAAATTAAATATTTAGAACATTAAAAAGGATTGTACACTAGACAGAAATAAAATTACAACTTAGAAATCACATTGTTAACAGATCGAAGTAACTGAAATGTGTTTGAACTTGTAATGCGATATGCGAAAAAGTGAATATGTTATCCGATGACAACTCCATCATAATGCATAACAAACTGAAATTCGATAGTTCTCAGATGTACTAACCTTTGACGTGATTTGAGAAGTGAGCAAAGACCTTAAGAGATGTAGGTAATCTTTGCACACCATCAAGTTTTTATAACCTGCTTCTCTTCCTCCTACTGCAGACGAGTATCACTAAATCACAACAGCTTACAGTGATTCAGCATTATCTACTACAAAACACTTTCAGCACCGATGATTGAGTATGATTCCATCAAAATAGTAACACATTTAGTTCGATTGTTTCCGGTTCGCTAAACTACAAAGACAATGAAATTTCGTCAGATATTCAGAGTAAATGTCGATTCGAACGAAGAAAGAAGAGATGTGGCGACCGATCTTTCTTCTTATCTAACGTTGTTAACCTACAGGATTGCTAGTCCCTGCCATCGCACTTTGCAATTTTACATGAGTGCATACAATCGGCTGGTAAAGTAGTTTTCTCGACATTACCTACTTGATAGAATCATTCCATGTTCGAACGATCTGATAAACTGTCTAACCACTGGTGATTAAACACCTTTTAAAAAAATATCGAGAACTAACATTTTAATCTTTAAACATCATCAAAAAGTTCTAAAATCATTGTGAGCAATGCTGAGGTCAGAAGAAAGATACTACGTAAGACAGAAAAGTCAATTGGTGAGGTTATGAACCTTCATCGGCTGAGATGGCTTGGATATGTGTTGCATATGCCTGATCACAGCCTACCTTGATGTTCCATGCTAGGGAAAGTTGGATTAGGTTGGAAGACGGGTTAAGAGTGGACAAACCAAGAGCTTGCACCAGTTTATGAAGTCCCTCACTGTTGGTTTGAGCCATGTAGGGAGATGTAAACTGTCTGACTCGAGTCTCCGAAACGACAGGAATCAGCGATTGAGAACTTTTGGTGACATGATTGAAAATCGGTCACAATGATGCAGATTCACTCACTACTTGACATCTTCAAAAGCTTGAATATTTGGACTAACCCTTATCTTTAAATTGTTTATTCTCTCATACATTTTTTTTTTGCTTGACATCACTCTTATTCCACCTACCTGTTTTTGTAAACTACTGTGAAGTGTGGTAACTTGAGTCAATGCACTTGTATGAGAGGTTCTACGCTGATTCCACCTGTGTCTGACTGTGCTATCAAATAAGCACCCATGGTGTATGCTCTCGTGTTATTTGGAATTTTTATCTCTTGTCCATACGCTAACTAAACAATTCATCCTATAGCTAAAAGGAAATAATCAAAACACACTGAAACCGAGCAATCAGTCCTAAATTGTCATCGGAGCATACACACTGATTAGAATACTAATCCGGGCAACGCAATCAGAAACTGAGATGAATCCATGTTAGTTGAACGCAACATAGACTATGCTTAAAGTGAAAGTATTTATATTCCCCTCTCTCCTCTTTCTCGACATAAGATAAACGGGATAAAAACATAGTGCTACAAATAGGGACGTACAGATTTCCTGGTTGACAGATGAATAACAGTTGAAATCGACATTCCTATGACTCAAAATTGCCTTTTGTAATGTGGAGAGATACGTAAGCTTCAAGTCTTGACATTCTCATCATTCTAAACATCTCAGCTGTTTGCTTACTTTCCACTATAACATCTAGTTGTTTACTGCCGGCGGAATAATTTGACTCATTTCATCGATACACAACGACTAAAGATAGCACATCAGACATTTCTCTCTCTCCCCCTCTATTCTGGTTACACGTATATCTATCCATCGATTCAAATCATGAACAATGTACCTTAGTCTTTTTGTTTACACAACTACATCATCGATTCATTTTAATTCAGATAAACAGTTATAGA